CCATAATCCAAAGCTGCAGTCAACCAGACTGGAATGTAAGGTGTGTACGCCGGACATGTCCGGTGTACAAACACAAACTTTGGCGTATATAATGGCGTACATTTGTTTACATAGACTAGTAATTGTTCAAATTCAACAAATATGGACCAAATAGGTTTATACTAAAAACGTGTATTTGGAACTTTTGCGCATCTACATTTCCAAAATTGGCGTACAGATACATGTTCCTGAATCGATGTCCGACGTGCAAAAAGTTGACTTTCCAGACTGGGCTGCAGACAAGTAAATCTTTGAAAACTATTGCCAACGATCTGAAAATAAAATACGCTATCAGGCAGACAGTTTATGTGGTATTCATAAAGACTAGGCTTGTATTTCGCTATAATTTCAGGTGTTTGCCATGCAAAGACTCGTCAATCGCCATATAGTAGTTCGCATTGCAAGTATTCATAACGTTACTCGGTTTGAATTTGCTGATGAGAAATCGGTTGATTATGCGCACCCATGCTCCAAGGATTTGGGCCATTTGGCATGAAGACCAACTCATCACAATTGTACTGATCTAATATGTGCTTTGACCAATTAACCGCAAAACATTATTGTCGTTTCATTAGTTTCTTGACTCATTGTACTCTCAGTCATATTTTGCACTTCTAACTTTTTTTTCTAGGCCAGATAAGTAAATATAGCAGCTCGTGAAGCCTCCTCCGCAGGCATCGCCTTTAGATTGGCGGGCAAAATTTACTTGCAGGCAAAAAAAATTGTAAAGTATGTGAACCACGAGATGTCTGCGGAGGAGGCTACAGCAAAACATATGGGTGTCTGAATTTCAGTCACCCTTATATTCTATATATTGCGAGTTATATGGGTGTCTGAATTTCAGACACTCTTATCTAATTCTATTGCGAGTTATATGGGTGTCTCGGAAATTCAGACACTCTTATATTCTATTGCGAGTTATATGGGTGCCTGAATTTCAGACACTCTTATATTCTATTGCGAGTTATATGGCTGTCTGAAATTCAGACACCCATATAACTCGCGCGCAATATAATATAAGAGTGTCCGAAATTCGGACACCCGTATAGCTCGCAATAGAATATAAGTGTGTCTGAATTTCAGACACTTATATAACTCGCAATAGAATATAAGACTCTATTGCGAACTATGTGGGTGTCTGAATTTCAGACACTCATATAACTATATCTTGCATGATCGTTTATTCAATTTCCAGCGATAGAGGAGTCTGAAATTCAGACACCCCTATATATTACACCAGTTATTCTATTGCACATGCATTTTAGCAGACAGTTCATTTTTTTGTTTAAAAGTTTGGTATTGTGCGGTAAAATGAACACTTATCAGAATATTCGGCGAAAATTAGCTAAAAACATTAAAAATAAGCTTTTTTCTACCAATTCCTTCGATTTTGATTGATTTTGGAAGTAGACTGAACACACTCAGCACAAATTATAGAAAAATAACAAAAATGTAAGCCAGAAGAATTGCTGTCAGCGAAAATCAAGATTATATATCAATACAATTTCGACACAAGTTCGCAGGAAATCGCCTTTTTCTTTGAAATTTGGGGCAAAATTACGTTGACTTGGCAATTATGCCGTATTTTGGCAGAAAAATGAGAAATTTCCGCAAAATATTGCAAATTTGAGTCAAAATTCGAAGTTTGGAATTGTTCAAAATTCTTTGGAACGCGTTCCTTGTAGATAATGTTTTTCGATTTACAGTTCTTCTTAATAGGGCATTCACTTGGGTTATTACAGTTGCAGTTATCTGATGTTGGTGGGGTAGTTGTGGGTTTTGACAGGATGCAATTGTTGTGGCGAGATATAACGCTCTTTACATTAGGCATGCAGCTATAGCTAACTTTGACTGTGTTACGGTTGAATATTTTGTGCAAAGGACTTGTAGGTGGGAAGGAAGTGAATGCCCTATTAACTGTAAATCGAAAAACATTATCTACAAGGCCCAAGTTACATCACCCGACGACGGTGTCATAAAAGAGTATATAGGAATGACGGCGACTACTTTCAAAGAACGATATGGAAATCACAAGAAATCCTTCAAACTTCACAGATATAAAAACGATACAGAGCTGTCAAAGTACATCTGGGGGCTAAAGAGTAATAATAAAGATTACACCCTAAAATGGTCAATTCTGAAGCGGGCAGGTGCGTACTCATCTGGCGCAAAGCGTTGCAATCTCTGCATAGAAGAAAAACTCTGCATAATGGATGCAAACAAACATTTAACACTGAACAAAAGACCCGAGATATTCGCAAAATGCCGGCATCGCGAGAAATTTTGGGCGGGAAATTTTGAACGCGCGTACGAATGACGGTGCACGTCAGCAAACTATAGATCACGCCATTATAACGAACTGAATTTAATCGCCTGAAGATTGCCACAAATAGTGGCATGAAACTTAAAGTAGCGAGAAATTGAAACATTTTAAGATAACAAATTAATTCGCTCTGCTAAATAATTTGTAGTATTGAGCACTCTTTTATCTATAACGAAAAACAAAACTGTTTATATATATATATATATATATATATATATATATATATATATATATATATATATATATATATATATATATATATATATATATATATATATATGAAGATCGGAGGTTTCTGATCGAAACGTCTTGTAAAAACTTTTTTATAAACGTGATTACGTTTTTTACATAGCTAGTGACAAGAAACTTTTAATCTTTTAATATATATATATATATATATATATATATATATATATATATATATATATATATATATATATATATATATATATATATATATATATATATATACCCTTACAAAAAATCCACATGAATTCACACGTGTGATTTCATGTGAAATCATGTGATAACATGTGAAATTATGTGATCACATGTGAACATGAAATCACATGTGAAATTTCACAAATGAAAGGATTTCACATGAAATCACATGTGACATTTCACATGTGAAAAGATTTCACATGAAATCACATGTGACATTTCACATGTGAAAAGATTTCACATGAAATCACATGTGACATTTAACATGTGAAAAGATTTCACATGAAATCACATGTGACATTTCACATGTGAAATGATTTCACATGAAATCACATGTGACATTTCACATGTGAAAGTATTTCACATGAAATTACATGTGACATTTCACATGTGAAAGAATTTCACATGAAATCACATGTGACATTTCACATGTGAAAAGATTTCACATGAAATCACAAGTGAAATTTCACATGTGAAAGAATTTCACATAAACGTTACAAACTGACAAAGTGAAATTTCACATGTACGTGAAAGGATTTCACATGAAATTACAAGTGAAATTTCACATGTGAAAAGATAAGGATTTCACATGAATTACAAATTACAAAGTGAAATTTCACATGTATGTGACAGGATTTCACATGAAATTACGACTGAAATTTCACATGTGAAAAGATAAGGATTTCACATGAATTACAAATTACAAAGTGAAATTTCACATGTACGTGAAAGGATTTCACATGAAATTACAAGTGAAATTTCACATGTGAAAAGATAAGGATTTCACATGAATTACAAATTACAAAGTGAAATTTCACATGTACGTGACAGGATTTCATATAAAATCACGACTGAAATTTCACATGTGAAAAGATGACAATTTCACATAAATTACAAAGTGAAATTTCACATGTACGTGAAAGGATTTCACATGAAATTTCGACTGAAATTTTACATGTGAAAGGATTTCTCATGAAATTACAAATTACATGTACAAGTGAAATTTCACATATGTGAAAATATTTCACATGAAATTACAAGTGAAATTTCACATGTGAAAAGATAAGGATTTCACATAACATTATAAATTACAAAGTGAAATTTCGCATGTACGTGAATGGATTTCACATGAAATTACGACTGAAATTTCACATGTGAAAGGTTTCACAAGGAATTACAAATTACAATGAAATTTCACATGCGAAAGGTTTCACATGAAATTAAAAATTACAATGAAATTTCACATGTGAAAGGATTCACATGAAATTGAAAATTACAATGAAATTTCACATGTGAAAGGATTTCACATGAAATTAGAAGCAGTGGCGGCGCCAGGCCTCAGGAATTGGGGTTGGGGGGATTTGAGGGGCAAACTCATATTTTTTGGGGGGGACAAGATAGAATTGTTAAATAGGTAGTGCTATTTGCCCATGCCGTTGTCATAGGACTCCCCCCCCTCAAGGAGATTCGCCCCCCTCCCCAACCATAGGAATATCGACCCCCTTTAGGATATTCGCCCCCATATATGCGATGTGGTTTATTCAAATTTCGTGATACGTTCATCTTAGTAGTGCCTTACATGTTTGAGAATTTAACTCAGCAAAACTAAAGCTTTTTTGCCTTTTTTGAAACGTATTATTGGAGTATTGGCAAGTTTTACCATTCAGAGACTTACAAAATAATATTGAAACTCAGTAAAAACAGTATTATACGCGCATTCACTAATGACTAATGAGCAATGAAAACTTATAAACCATACATTTTTTTTTTGGGTGGGGGCAAAATGTGGAGGTGGGCAAAATATAATTAGGGTATCCCCCTCCCCCCCCTCCCCGCCACTGATTACAAGTGAAATTTCACATGTGAATAGATTTCACATGAAATTACAAGTGAAATTTCACATGACAAATGATTTTATATAAAGTAAAAAAGTGAAATTCACATGTGAAAGATTTCACATGAAGTAAAAAGTGAAATTTCATATGTGAAAGGAATTCACATAAAGTTACAAGCGAAATTTCATATGTGATTTAAAGGATTTCACATGGACGGTAAAAAGTGAAATTTCACATAAAATCGTGCACTGCAAAACATCAAATTCTAGTCTAGAATAATAGTCTTATTTTTTAGATTATTTTTTTTATCTTAAGTAACTATTTCAGTATTTCAAGAAAAAAATCTCGTTTTGAGAACAAGGCATGAATTTGAATATTCGAAAATTTTTTTTCTTATTATAAGAATAACATTTTTACAACCTAGAATAATATTCTTATAATCAGAAAAAAAATTGAAATGAAGTTTAATATTACTTTAAATCCTTCAATTAAAATCCCATGGATAGTAAAACTAGGGAGCGCTGTTTGGTGTATCTATTTTAGAAGACAAGTGCCACGCGCGCAATGAGTTGTGGGATATCGCGTATCAAGTGTCGAGTGTGATTTGCAAATTTTTGATTTTTTCGTTTGGAACTGATTTCGCTCAAGAAAAGCTATATTCCGCCCAAGAAAAGGTATAAATGGTATTGGATAAGTGACTGTAAGTCTTGCTAAAGGCTTATTGATCTCAGGTATGTATTATTACTCTTTATATCATATAATTATAACGTCCATCGACCCTTTTATTTCATTTTATCTTGTGGCTGTACTAGCCTGACTGAACATGTGGCTGCTAAAATTTGAATTTGCGCGCGCGAGATTTTATATATTGAAATTGTTTCATTTCAATGCTGCCAAATATTAGTTAAAACCAACAATTCAAATTTTGAATAAGCACATTATATAGTGTATTATTTGAAACAATATGTGAAATGTGAACATGAATGTAAATATGTGTTTGCTACAAAATGGCTTGCAAGCCTATTCATACCAAAACATGAGAATTATTTGAGAGTATTAATTAAATTATGTTCTTTTAATCACCTCTCCCCTGGAATGCCTGGATTACCAAGGTCTTTCAAGTCATTGAGTGCCAGCTCTCTCCCCTTGACAAGTAAAATCACCTAGGCATTAATTCTGCCTAGGGTTACTGGCCGGGTTAGACAGAGTAAAATTAGTGGTGTTTTCACTACAATTAAACCTTGACCTAGCCTTGGCCAAGCCAAGGTACATTAAATGTGGGATGTTTACACCATTACACTATTTTTTTCAGACAGGCCCGCTTTGGCCAAGAATTTTGTTATTAATTTTGTGTATTTTTATGTGTTGTCATGTTGTCTGCTGGTTGTCTGCTAATCTCTCACTGTGGACAGAGGCACCGGGGAATCGATAATTGGGGGGGGGAGATATTCATATATTCGTGTTCTGCCCAATTAATTACACGCCCCCCGTGGAAATCAGCTACGGTTGACGGGGTCAGCATGGATAAATAAAGTTCTACTACTACTACTGCTATTATCGATTCTCCGGCGCCTCTGACTGTGGACACACATTGCCATAAAAATAAGGCCCCGGCCAGGGCCTAAAGTGTTTACATTTACACAAGCTTAGGCCAGGTCTGTGTAGTGAGTCCAGATTTCCTGGCCTAGGTCAGGTCAAGGCTAGGCCATTTCCACAAGCCTAGGCTTAGGCCAAGTCGGTTGTAGTGAGCCCAGATTTCCTGGCCTAGGTCAGGACAAGGCTAGGCCAAAGTCTGTTTACACTGTCAAAATGTTGGCCAAGGCTGGTAGTGTAAACAAGACTATTGAATGCATCAAGGCACATTACGACTAAATGGTTAGTGTTTCCCACAATATGGTAAAAAAGTATATACTTTTGCTAGCTTGAGCTTGAAGGATCTTCCAAGCTAAACCCTTCTAGAGTATACCCTGTATATATGTGCCTTTTTATATGATAATGGCACGAATGGACAGTAGGTTATAATCCAGGATGGTGTGTTTAATATAGACACAATACACCTCACCTGGCAGGGATGATAGAGTGCTTATATTCATGAGAGTTTCTTGTCCTGGCAGGTGGGATCCTGTCTAGGCCAGATAGAAGTAGAATAATTCACTAAACAGTTGATACAGTTCATATTGCAAGCTGGGTCATGCCGACGGGATCATAATAATTACAAAGTGGCTACATTATGATGCTTATGATGTTACTCTGAGTGCATATCCACACCGGGCAAGCTTGAAAAATATGCCTGACCACGGTGGGAATCGAACCTACAACCTTTGGAATACTAGCCTGGCAATACTCTGCCAACTGAGCTAAGCGGTCAGATCGGTTCGAATATGTGATATTTCGGAACAGAATCTAGTTCCTTCGATATCAATGTAATCGAAGGAACTAGAAAAATCATTACTGATTATTAGATTACATTGATATTGGAGGAACTAGATTCTGTTCCGAAATATCACATACTGTATTTGAATCAATCTGTCCGCGTAGGTCAGTTGGCAGAGCATTGGGCTAGTATTCCAAAGGTCATAGGTTCGATTCCCACCATGGTCAGGCATATTTTTTAATTACGCTTGCCCAGTGTGGATATATACTCAGCGTAACATCACAAGCATCATATTCCTGAGTACATTAAACCAACACAGAAAAATCATTACTGGCTACAGTATATCTACAGGTCCTTAAACAGATTTTGCCAGGCTATATTTACAGGCTTACAGCACTCTTACGTACTAAACCAGAACTATAAAATTTATTATTAATGAAGGATTTCAGCGAGCTCAAAAATAGATCAGAAGCTTAGGCAGATGGCTGCTGTGCTGTAGTCTGTGGTTCAAACCCGAGTTGGGACAGGTTTTTTTCAACTTACTGTAACTAAAAATGTTTAACTTTTTTTCTGATTAGTTTTATTTTGGGGGGTAGAGGTTAGGGTTAGTTTTGTTTAATTTGTCTTTAACAATAAATACAACCTGTGTGGAGACTAAGAATGAGAGTGCCATAAATATACCTTGGTGAAGTTTGTTTACAGGCTTGAAGATATAGCCACTTTGTAATAATTATTTACAAAAGCAATTTAATTTTTAAATGGATCAAATGATTGGATAATTACTGCAGACTTTATAAAAACAGTCTAAGCTTACAACGGCATAAAACTAGTATTCTTTTTACATGTGCATCCGAAGCTAGATTGAATTAACTTATAAATAACTATTAATTACAAGAGTATGCACCAGCATACTTGATGATCTACTTAGCCTTGAGAGTAAAATGGTCTGGCATTAGACAGAGTACAATAATCTGGCATTTAAAAGACAGTAAAATAAGGAAGTAGGACACACAAGGGTACAATACAACTTAATGGGTTCACTAGACACATGGCCATATTAACCCAACAAAACAGGAATACCCTGTACTTCTCAAGAAGTTTGGCAGGTCATTAAGATGGGGAGTTAACTGGATATTATACTAGGCCGGACATGGCATAAGCTGCATTGTGCCACAACTTTATTCTTTTACTGTGTCTGATGGGTTGTTCCAGAAAAGATCCACTCTCCCCTGGGCACAGAGGAAATTTCAACCGTCCGGAGGGGAGGCGAGGGGAGAAAAAATTGTTTCTGAAGTGTATAAGGACATTTGAATTTCGAAGGGGATAGGGGGTTAACTTCCAATTTCCTTCATGGGGGAGGTTACATGTACTGTAGGTATTGATGTTCGCTGGAATGACCCATTGTCAGATGATTTTACTTGTCAGTGATATCACTCAGTGGGTCACTGAAACAAGTAGCACTCATCTCCAATATAACTAAGGTTAAATCATATAATCTTATGAATCTAATGAATGTTTCTGGAACGAGCCAATAGCATATTAAATCACAAATGCCAACAACCAGTAGCAGATACCTCAAAATATTGGGGTGCTGTTGAGATGTCTGTTAACAAATCCTATCTAGTGCATATTTCTTTTGTTAACCCATTCACTGGCAATATGCTCTACTTTATATTACTCTGTCTAATGGCAGGAAATTTTACAGTTTTACTTGTTGAGAAGATAGCCTTGCAGCAGTTTCCAATTTGCCATGTATCGCCCACACAGAGAATACATTACTGGGGACGAGTCAGGGTAAAAGCCATATGAACCAAGGGTTATCAATTATGATAATACTAGAAACAACGTCAACCAAAGGTTAGCTTGTGCTACTAACTACATTTATTTAGGTCTTCCCATTCGTAATAAGGTGCAAAGTTTATAGGTTGGATAGGAGGAAATTGCTCATATTGCTGCATGTGAACTGTGAACTTGTGCTATATACTGTAATGTTAACTGACTGTGTAGTTCCAGTACCGGTACATGAAATACATTATGTACAGCTAATGATAGTCTTGTATTTCCTTTCTTGTAGCTCATGTGACTAAATGTTTTGCGGGAGCAACAGCCTCATCAGTGAAAGCTGCCATGGCCCAAAAGTGCAAAGACAAAAGAAATGCTGATACGAAAAGAAGAAAAATTGCAAAAGACATTTGAACTGCTAAGTTTTTTCCTTATTATAAATTATTTTGTATGGTAGCTAAACATTTGTAGCAATTAACTGTATAAATAAATTATTTAAACTTCCTACAGTATATATACCATTACAGTATCTCACTGTTTGACAGGTTTAACTGTGCATGATTGAAGCTTTGCATAATTTCACATGTGAAACTGGAACATGTGATATTTCACATGTGTATTTGGAAGATGTGATATCTCACATGTGAAGTTTCACATGTCAACACATGTGAAATTATGTGTTTCACATGTGAAGTTTCATGTGAAATTTCACATGTGAATTTGGAACATGTGAATTTGGAACATGTGACTTTTCACATGTGAACACATGTGAAATTATGTGTTTCACATGTGAAACTTCACATGTGAAATTTCACATGTGAATTTGGAACATGTGAATTTGGAACATGTGACTTTTCACATGTGAACACATGTGAAATTATGTGTTTCACATGTGAAGTTTCACATGTGAAATTTCACATGTGAATTTGGAACATGTGAATTTGGAACATGTGAACATGTGATTTTTCACATGTGAACACATGTGAATTTGGAACATGTGAAACATAATTTCACATGTGAAATTTCACATGTGAAAAATCACATGTTCCAAATTCACATGTGAAATTTCACACATGTGAAATCATGTGGAATTTTTGTAAGGGTACAAATAACTACATGCAGCACACACATACCACAAGCCAACAACTGTTATACCTTCACCTGGACAGAAGCCCAACTTTTGGGACGAGAGCAAACAAAACACGCACCTGAATTCAAAGAGGCATGGTACAGTATAGACGGTAATACAATTAACCGACACGTTGATATTCCCAGTATATACTTACAACTTAAAACAACACGCACGCGTGTTTGCCGTCTCCATCAATATGTCGCTGTTCGATGACCTAACTCATGTGAGCCCTCAAGAGAAAACTATGGTGTCAAGAGAAAACTCTTAGGTGATGTGGAAAATTGTTAGTGAAGAATGAAACGATTTTGTTATTTAATATTTTTATACAATGTTATGTATTGATATGTGCCGGTGTTGGTATTTTGTTATGAATAAAGTTACTATTATTATTATTATTATTATTATTAATTATTTATATTCATTATCACATAGTTAAACCAGACACATGCAGTATTCTTAACATAAAGTGGACTCACCGTGCATTTGAAACTGTACATTCCAACATGAACTAAATGAACAATATATTGTCAACACAAGCCAGATTTGAACCTCAGTATATATTCAGCTTCAGGAAAATGAATATAAATCCATTTCTGATTATAATAAATATTTAAAAATGCAAATTTTATTCTACAAATGTGAATGTTTTTTAATCGAACTGCTATGTGAATATATCGTGTTAACCCCCTGGCGATTACAAAATTCATTGCGCTAACCGCGCGAAAATATGAGGGTCTGCCAACCGGCAAGTCATTCATTGAAATTTTCATGGCAAAACCTCAACATATAATTTGACATGTATTCCAGATTTGAACCTGTACGTTCAGAAAGCTGACGTCCCACCAATTGCAATTGAGTGGTTCGTAATAAAACATATTACTATAACACATAGGTGCATGTAGCTATATGTAATTTATGGATGCTTTTCTTTAGGTCCTCGCCTTGCAGACAATCAAGTATGTGGTTTTCTCCAAGTATGGCCTTGACGCTCTCTAGACGAGTCAGGCAAATCCTGTGGTGTTAATATAGCATATATAGTTGGCAACTCTCAGGATCCACCCTGACCATCACGGAATTTACAAAATTCTCACGGTCAGCTCACAGCTTGTTAATATCTCACGGATTCTCACAGATTTCGAAAATAACCCAATTGGTCCTTTAAATTTAATATGTTGCCTTTGTTGTACGTATACATTTTAACTATTAAGAGTGACTTTATTTGCCTCAGATTACATAAACCTTTTTTCTTCTGAAAAAATTCATGCTATCAAGCCAAAAATAGATAATCAAAATATCGCTACATGCAACCACGTCCTCGTGGGTATTCAACAATATGTTTTGTATATCTAAGTAAAAGCTACCAAGAATTGTGTGTATAAGGTATAGAAGACTCTGAAATGCCATTTCCAACAATTAACTAGAGACTCCGCATTTTCAAAATTTTCCCGCACGGCGCCAAACATGGTGGCGCTTCGTGTGCCCCAAAGCAAAATCTCACGGATGTTTTTTTCCCAGAGTTGGCAACTGTGGTATGGCTATGATTTAGCAGAATCGAAATTGTTGTCTTTGGAAAAAACTAGATTGGAAATAGATGTTTTTCTTTAGGTGGAGTTGTTATATCAAGTACCTGAATTCGTATTAATTTAATTAATATATTCTTTTAGACGGCCAGCCAGCCGATCAAAATACGACTGTCGATGGCATTTTTTGTTACAAGTAAACAACAAGCGTTTTCTTATACCTAAGACACTGGTGAGTCACGTTTGCTTTGTTGCCACCTCTGATTTTAACGAACGAAGAGAAAATTTTAAGCATTTGAAAAGTTTGCCTATTAAATTATTATACTCCCAAAAAAATGTGAAATTTGAAGTTCACTTAAATTAGCATCGTTTATATCGTTAGAAAGAGCATAAAAAAGTACATATAAGACATTCTAACGAGTAATACGATTTATTTATCCAAATTCGAGTTATGAACACTTAAAAATAGGTAAAATGCGGTGATTGCCGGTGAATGACGTCACAAAAGCTGTTTTGTAGCAACTTTAAGCGCCTGTAACTCAAAACAGGGTTATAAAATCACACTTCTCACTTAAATGTTCTATATCTACTTTTTTCCGAACTTTCTGATTATATAGGTGATTTTTTCTGAAAGTTGGTTTCAAATTTCACAGTTTAGTGAGTATAGCAATTTTAATAGGCAAAATTTTCAAATTCTCAAAATTTTTCACTTTAAATTCAATATCAGAGGTGGCAACCTATCAAACGTTGTTCTCCAGTGTCTAAGCTATACGAAAACGCCAGTTGCCAGCTTGTAACAAAAAATGCCATCAATGGCATTTTAGAGACACTTTTATTGAGGTTTAGGCCGTATTCTGTGGCCGCTTATCGTTCAGTTCCGCTGCCCCCATTCGGGGAATACTTTTAGTTTACATGAATCTATAGATTTTGATACGCTGAGTACGAATTCAGTTGTTGTAACTCGCACAAACCTGCAGTTTTTTTGTATTTTACGATCAAACATCAACATTTTTTATTAAAATTTCCGCCATTTTGTTCAGGAAACTTCATGTTATTTACAGTTATTGTACTAGTCCAAGTCTCTTAGCAGGGGGGTTGCACGCGGTATTTTTTCACAATATAAATGCAAAAGGTACTGGTACATGTTTGTAAATAATTAGGAATTAATCTATTATTCTTTATTGCATCAACTTTTGTTTTTTTTGGCTAATCATGATTTGAAATTGCAAAGACTGTCACTATATCCACAAAGACTCTCACAGCTAGTCTCACTTGTCATTGGTAAAGTTGTTTATTTTATTTATTACTGAAATTATGTGCATAATTTTGGCCTTGCAATATGAATAGCCAGAATAGGCAATTTTTCTTTGAAATTTTTGTCAACAATGAATAAGGAGCACAATATATTGTTCAATAAATGTTAGACCTATTTGTAGACCATTGCCCATCAAATTATTAGTAGCAGCTGACCTCAATAAAATTAACTCATCTATTTAATAAATCTGCACATAATTAGTTCCATTTTCTTGTATTATAATAACATTTTTCCCATATTATGGGACATTAAGCTTTATAAATAAAAACTTTTAGAAGATGGCTTTCACTCTCTGACAGACAGGCTACTTTTTGTCTGTTTATATGGAGTTAACCCAACCTAGATTAGCTATATTTCTTTAATTACTTTATTGTTATTTAAGTATTTACATTAGCAAATGGTGGCTGCACAGGACATAGCCCCAATTATTACAGCTACAATATAACAACCGGCCTAGCTTGGTTTTTCAATTTATGTGAGACTGTTGAGGCAAGCATGGGCGTGCTGGAACAATTAAAGCAGCTGAGCAAAAAACTATATTCACACAAGCAAATCTCAAAGTCATGCCACCTAGAAACATTAATTGATTGAGCCATTTGACGTTTAAATGTGTAAAAAAATATTAAATGCAACATATTGTCATGATCCATCATCACCTTAAGCTCTAATCCTATTTGAGCTGCCATTAATTACCAACTGAACTACTGGAGATTCAGGGATATTTTATATTTGACCAGGCAGACAATAGACAATCACTACCTACCAATATGCCTTAGTTATATAAACCTTCTTTCCTCTTGGGCTGGCCTGCCTGGCCAAGACTCTTTTCCAAGCCTTAGATCTTGGATAACAGCTGGGCATTAAATAATTCATACATAATTCACATCAATCTATTGATATAAATAACATTTCTTTATTTTCTTAGGGGGTGTTTATATATGGAGGGCAGCCAACCCAGATACCCGAGCTAGCTTGCTTTGCCGAGATCTAACATTGCTATGTAATTTATACTAACATTTATCTTGTGTTTAAATGGAACCGAGCTGGCCTGCCTAGGTGAGATCTTGGAAAATAAAAATATATTTACTTATATTACATGTATACTATTTATAGCGGTAAGACCAGTGATTTGTTTTGGCAAGACAGCCCACCTCAAGGGTCTAATGTAAACATGGGATAAAATCAGCTCAGCAAAGAGAGCTAGCTCGGGTGCATGGGCTGGCTCACCTCCATATAAAAACCCCATTAGAAGATTTCAAAGTTAAAATTTATTTTGAAATCTCTTCTGAGGGATAAAACCTTCAAAACTTTATTGTTGACAAAAATTTCAGGTAGACAGTATTCAGGAAAATTGCCTTTTCAAATTGTAAGGCCAAAATTATGTACATAATTTCAGTAATAAATAAAATAAACAACTTTACCAATGAAAAGTGATTGTCTTTATGGATATAGTGACAGTCTTTGCAATTTCACATCATGATGAGCCAAAAAAAACAAAAGTTGATGCAATAAAGAATAATAGATTAATTCCTAATTATT